ATGGGGTGGTCCCCATATTGTATTATATAGTTTTTTTCGTTAAATCAAAGGACACCGTGTCTTCCTTTCGTTTTGGGCTTGAACATTTTAGAAAAAAGAGCCACCGTGCATAGTAGCAGAAGAAAACATATCCCTCACCTACAAAATTTTCGATGGACTAGAGGGGCGGCTACTCGCTCCTGGGCTTCATTTCTAGCGAGAGGAGGGGCGGCCGCCCCTCTTTGCTCCTCTATAGCTTCGCCATTGGTGGCAAAGAGTTCATATAGCGTCCCACTTTTGAGAAAGTCTCCTTAGCATTGTAATTATGCATTTTTGGTAAAATGGTCTAGAATTCCTATGTAATCTAGTAATTCTTTCTTATTAGGTTTTGTACTATTTTGAGAGCAAGTTTTTCTCTCCTCACGGTTTACTATAAATAATGGTACTATTGTAGGGGAAATATCATCTATAAGTTCCCCGCTTTTGTCTCTCTGATGCTGCACCTCCTTCTCTCCCTTCAGTAAATTGGTCATAACACGTTATCAAGTACGCTTTTGACACTACCTTAAGGAATTTGAAGGATATTTTCTATTATAAACCAGTTCACAATTTTCATCATACAATCTCAATTCTTCTAAAAAGCGGTCTAAATTGTCCACATATTTTCAGCCTTGATTGCATGAAACATTCACTAAGATGCATGTATCTCAACTTTGCATTTTGAATTATAGATTCCGCTTAAATTGTAGTCACGTTATTCTATTATATTATATTGGGAATTTAATGATTGTTTGAGAAACCAAAGAAAAGAGGCACAAAGTCAAAATTTAGGGGTTTCTACCTTAACCGCGCGAGCTACGGTTTGAAGCTGTTTGAGCCGCGTCGCCGAGCAAACGAGCCATGGCCTGAAGTCATTTGAACCGTTGGAGCGGAGCCGCTCTTAACCGAGCTGCTGGGCTAACCTCAGCACAAACTCAAGTTTTTTTTAGCTTCGTCTACACTCGGCCTGCACCACAAAAGTTCCATTGGAATTTTCTCGCGCTCGGCCTACCAAGCCCTGGCGACCTTCTTCTAGCTTGCATGCAGCAGTTCAGCCCAGTTTTGAGCCTGGGACCCCTAATTGTTTTCCTTGCGCTCAACCCATCTGCAACCCAGCTAGTTGTGGGCCTCTAAACCACCCTGCATAACACCTAGCCCAAGCCTTGGACCTGGGCACCAGCTTCTTCTTCTTTAGGCTAAGGCCTACCCTGCACCCAAACCAAAACAGCTCAGTTCCTGTGGATGGGCTTCCTGCCTGTGGCCTATCCTGCAACCCAACAGCATTCGTAAGCCTAATATTTTTTCGATTTTGTGATACATTTGCTTTGCTTGTACCGACCCATGAACTTGCGGTTCATAATTTGAACCCGAAGTTACGCATAAACGCCAAAGAAATCCGAGATATTCTTAAAACACGACACCGATGGTTTCCCAAAGTTTTTATGTTAATTTAAACCAAACTATATCTAATAGAACCTGAATGCTTTATTCATGAACAATTTTTATCCACTGAGGTAACGATAATTTTATTCACATCGTTACAACGACATGTCGAACTTGAACAAACTCAACTTTACTGTTTTGGAAGTTTCTAGAAAAAAATACCTAAAGTGGATTCAAGGTGTAAGCTTGACCTCAATTTCACACTGCAGTAAAGAGAAACTTGGGGACCATACGTCTTCTGTTCAATCTAGAAGCCAAAATCAAATTTAACTCCATGTCTGCCGATAATGGAAGACTAAGTTGCTTTTAAATTAATCTCATTGACGGTTTGTGAAAATGAAGAGGAGAAAGAAAAGTGGCCTGGGTTAAGAGACATTCTATGAGAGCTTGAGAATAATTAATTTAATCCGATTGCATTTGACTAATTTGCCTTTGATTAAATTTGTTTTTGTTTTAGACAGAAAGATGGAACTTATTAAATTTGAATAGATATGTTTAGATCCTTTGCCAGAATATTGAAAAGAAAATCAGAACCGATACAATCCCACATTACATTTTCTTCTGCCTTGAGGACATCTGCTGCAACTACATGCGCAGTGTTGTTGGCACGATGAGGAGAGTATGCGAACTCCAAGACACCAACATCCGCAGCTCCCAATTGTAATTCTCTTGTGATCATGTTTAGGACAATCTTAGCATCAGATACCACAATAATTCCTGTGATCCCTTCCTTCAAACAGGCGTATGGAGTTGCTCTCACCCCAGCAACCTCCCCCGCCACTGCAGAAGGGAAAAACAGGCCTCCCGTGCCACCTGAGAAATGCCACATGCCCGCAAAAATTCGTACGACCCAACCAACTCCTCCTTTCTTAGTTTTTGAATCCCACGCTGCATCACAATTAACCTTGAGCACCCAAAAGCTTGGTTTCTTCCGGCCATTTCCATCCACATATGATTTTTCTTTGTTGGCAGGCATCATAGCAGTATGTAGGCCATTATTGGCCTGCGATTCCACTCCTATTGCTTTCTTAAACTCTTCAATCCTTATTTTCCATATTTACATAGCCTCAACGGGATCACACTTAATCACTTTAAACACTGTATCGTTTCTGCATTTCCAGGTCCTCCATAAATCGAAGACGATTCCTTCTTTAATCTCGCTTCTTCTCTCATGTTTTCGAAACCGTTGGCATATATGATTCTAGCAAGAATAAAGTTCGTACATTCGAGATTGGCAAAGTTTAGTTGAACGTCGCAAGATAACCAGAAAGCCCTACAAAACTCGCAATAGAATAGGATATGCTCCACTGTCTCATTCTCCCTTTCACGGAACGCACAAAGGTTACACACCTTCATTCGTCATTTTTCCAAATTCCTTCTCACCATTGTGGCATTGTTACAACACTTCCAAATAAAATTTGTCATTTTGTTTGGGACCGACAAATACCATATTTGCTTCCACATATAGCAGCTAGTTCGGCAGGTACTACTCACACCCATTCCCTTTTTATAGAGCTCATCGTTTTTTAAAAAATCCATTGCCACCTCATATCCAGTTTTGACGCCATACACACATTTATTTGTACAGTGTCAAATCAACTGATCTTCACATCCCTCATAGCTAATTGGGATGGAACAGATTAACTCAATTTCATCCAGATCGAACCATTGTTCCAGATGATAAGATCTAAATCTCTCGGCCCTTAATCAACTTTGTAGACATCGAAATTTCAGTGAAATAAATGTTAACCAAGGTATTAAAATTACAACATTTATTTATTTCACCTACATCACACACTCATTTCACCTACAACTTCCATTTACTTCACCAACCTCACACACTTACTTCACCTACCAACTCCATTTACTTCACCTACAACATCCACTTACTTCACCCACCAACTCCATTTACTTCACCAACCTCACACACTTACTTCACCTACCAACTCCATTTACTTCACCTACAACATCCACTTACTTCATCCACCAACTCCATTTACTTCACCAACCTCACACACTTACTTCACCTACCAACTCCATTTACTTCACCAACCTCACACACTTACTTCACCTACAACATCCACTCACTTCACCAAAAAAATGGATGGTGGTGATTCACTCTCAAAGCCTATAAATAGGCTTCTCTATCAAGAGGAAAAAAAACCAATTCACAAATACATTTCTCTACTCCCAAAATGGAAGAGAATACTCCCCACACATCCAAAATCCTTGAAGCTTTGAAACTCTAAAGCTCTCAAGCATCCAACCCCCAAATTCCCAAGAATCCCGAAGAATCAAGAAAGCCCTCTTCATTCTTCGTCAAATCCTCCTTCAAGATCAAGCCCCGACGGCCCTTGAAGAACTTCCACCAATTCAAGATCAAGCCCTGACGGCCCTTGAAGAAAGTGTTCATCGTTCATCCTAAGATCAAGCCCCAACGGCCCTTTGGATCAACAACCTCAACAAATCCACACATCCAATCGTTCTTCAAGATTAAGCCCAAAAGCCCTTGAAGATCCGCTCATCCATCAACCTTCAAGATCAAGCCCAAAAGCCCTTGAAGAAATTCACACAACCATTATTCAAGATCAAGCCCCGACGGCCCTTGAAGAAAGTGTTCATCATTCATCATCCGTTCATCCTAAGATCAAGCCCCAACGGCCCTTTGGATCAACAACCTCAACAAACCCATACACCCATTCTTCAAGATCAAGCCCAACGCCCCTTGAAGATCCATTCATCAACTGTTCATCCTTAGATCAAGCCTCGACGGCCCTTTGGATCAGCAACTCATCCACACACACCAAAACCTTGAAGCCTTAAAGTTCTAAAGCTCTCAAGAAAATCCCGAAGGATCAAGAAAGCACTCTTGGTTCTTCGTCAAATCCTCCTTCAAGATCAAGCCCCAACGGCCCTTGAAGAACTCCCACCAACTCAAGATCAAGCCCCGACGGCCCCTTGAAGAAAGTGTTTATCATTCATCATCCGTTCATCCTAAGATCAAGCCCCAACGGCCCTTTGGATCAACAACCTCAACAAACCCATACACCCATTCTTCAAGATCAAGCCCAACGCCCCTTGAAGATCCATTCATCAACTGTTCATCCTTAGATCAAGCCCCGACGGCCCTTTGGATCAACAACTCATCCACAAACCTACACCCTACGAAGATAGAATCAGAGGACCAAATTTGAGAGAGATCGTAACCCCAAAATCATTAAACACAAAATATTATTTTGTACACGTATTCTTGTTTCTTGTTTCAGGAATTTTTCGTGTTCACAAGCAAGTAACACATAGGATAGAGAAGAAGAGGGAAGGAAGATGAAGGAGCAGAGCTCCAAATATTTTTGTATTTAATTTCTTTTGTGTAAATTCTCATCTCATTTGTTTTCTAGGAGCTAGGCTAGCTTTTATTCAGATTCCACCCCTTAAAATGCCAGCTGGCATATTTAACAGTCCTTAATACTAAAAACTAAAGCATAAACCCCCCATTAACTCTCTAAATCATCGATTAAGACAATCACAATTGAGACCTATTATGGATTCATAACAATACTTCCCCCTTGAAAACTAGCCTTGTCCACAAGGCTAAAAAATTTGAATGTGGAAACTTGTTTGAAAGCAGCAGCACATTCCCTTCTGATGGATATGTTCTCAATTCCAGTTATGCTCATTGCAATCCCAATATTAGCGAGTTTCAAAACAGGTGCATCATTCAGTGGTTTCAAAGCACTAGTTGACATCTCACGAAAAGCTTGCACGATATAGTTACTTGAGCTATCATCCAATGGTACAACAGTGTCATCAAGCAACTGAACCTTAGTGCTTTTCTCAAGCAAATTCTCTACAGCACCCTTCATTAGCAATGACTTCTTTCTTGAAATAGAGTTGACCATTACACCCGTGGATTTCTTATCACGATCAAACTCAAGGGTTGCAATTCGGTGTTCAAATTCACTCCACTTTTGGCAACAACCAAGCAAATCCCTTCCATTTGATGATTCCCAAAATAGATTCACAAAAACACCCATTTGCTTGCCATCCTTGTACTAAAAATAGAGTACCAGCTTGACAGCTTTAGCTGATGTATCTCCCTAATCCCAAACAGGCCAAAAATCAAATTTTCTAGTGAAAAACAAAGAAAAATCAGCGTGTAAATCAATAGCCAAAGCACCAAAATTGCTTTCCAGGTGACCTTCGAGAGAGCATGCAAAATCCAAATAGGTACCCTTAGTGCATTCACTCCTTCTCTTCAATGTATTTGTTATTCTGTCACCCTCAAAGTCATTGGTCTTGCTGAATACCTCTCTAATTCGTGCTTCACCAATAGTTCCAATGTCGTGTGGTAACTCAATAGCTCTGCCAAATTTGACTCCCTCATTCACAACTTTAGGACTACCACACTTATCTAATGCAACATTCCTTCCCCTAGGACCAAAAGTAAGGCCAATAACACCCGCAAACTTGTCAATTCCACCTTGTAGTGCATATTGCCAATGCTGATCAAAAGCAATTTCTTTTGTAGAAGACTCCATAATGGAACAAAGCCTTGATTGCCAGTAATTCACCCTACTGTTTTGTTGCTGATTCACCCCCCTTCACAAATTTCCAACAACCACAGCTTCATTTTCAAGTGAATTCATAGAGTAGGTAGAGTACACCATTTGTCCATGGTCTAATGCACTCGAATGCCTGCACGCAGATCTTACACACACATCCATTGCCGCATCCAAGTCATCTATAACCTAAGGTCGAGGGATAAGGTTTTGACAACTAACAAAAAAGCACATACCCTCATTTGAGAAAACTTCTGCAAGCTGTGCAAAACCAAGATCAAATATATTTCCAGCAATTATTCCTCTAATCAGATCCTCTACCTACTTGACATCATATTCAATAGCATCATTAAGGTCCACTACCTTCTCAAATAGGGATATGGCCTTGGCATTCTTTTCATCCACATGTCTGAACCGGTTCAAAGCCGTAATTTGTGATAAAGCTAAGATCACATCCCCAAAAGCTAGAAGAGATTTATTGATGTTTTGAGATTCCTTAAGGTTTTCCCCTTGAACTTCAGTTTTTGCTAGGTGCTTACTGCCACCCAAATTCACATACCAAAGCTTGCTCATTATGGACCTTTCATCGAACTTAAGGTTAAGCTCATCAGACTGTGTAAGTGTAACCATCGCTGGAATTGTAGAAACCATATTGTTGAATTCGAAAATCATAATAGCAAATTTATGCACTTCAGCAAAGAGTTGAGAATAGTCTTCCTCCCTCAACTTGGCTTTACTTTCTATATTGTCAACAAGAGATATACAATATTCACGAGACAGAAACTGGTCAAGATATCGAAATCTGCCCTCACATATCGATCGTAAAGAAATTATCGAACTCAACAGGGAGGCTACTTTTATTTTCTTGATAGATACAATATCAATGTCTTGAGAATCAACCAAGGGCCTAAGAAAAGTTTTTCCCATACGATTTCTTTCAAGTGGAGATGCAAAGGCACAAAATGCAAGTATCATGAGGGTAGTGTCTTGAAGGGCTTCCCACACATAAACAATAAATCCACGGAATGGTTTTTCAGTGAATTTATTAACTCCAGACATTTTGTTTCCTTTATGAAGCAATTTCTCAGAAGTAGAAATTCCATTGATACTTGAACATGATTGAGTTACTTGATTGCAGTCTTTGTTGGCCAAATATGCAGTAACTTGTGTAGCAGCCATTGTATCACTGGCAGAATTTGCAGCTGTCTCAGCAGCTGATGAGTCGACAAACTGGATATGTCCTATTTCACACCACAACATGCAATTCGCACCACAGTTGGGACGTGCATCAATAGTCGCATATACAAAATCTTTACCATACTTTTCCTCAAAAATATTCCTTAGAACGATTAGTTCCGAAATCTCAAAACATCTGGAAGAGGCAAAGATTAAACTAGCAATTCCCTTTTTGAGATTAGGTAGACCCTCCTCTTGCTTTGAGATGATAGAAAGTCTGGATACTACTAATTCACAGAAGAGCTCAATGAATTCATTGGCGGTCAAAATTTTTTATGCTCTGAACACATGTTCAACCCGGATATCATGACCAGATTGTAGGAGCAAGGCAATGTCACGCCTCATTTGCTTCACCACCGCCTGCTTCCTGTTCCTCAGCAGCTTTATTTGAACCACCGCCATCTTCAATTGCAATTTGTGGAATTTAGAGCCTCCACCCTTATCCCAAATGCCATTGCAGTAGAACATGTCCCGATCGAGAACAACATAGAAACTTCAGTCTGGAATTTCATCAAATAGTTTCCATGCACCAAAATACTTCCTCACAAATTTACCCATAAGATACCAATTAACCCATTCAAATTTATCTTTCAGGTATGCACCATTGTTATCAGTCAAAAGAGAAGGGAATTTAGCCTTCGAAGTTGTTGAAATGATACTCAAATTAAGAACTACCTCAGGTCTAGTGTCCGTAGTATCGGAGCACGAGTGCTCATGAAGTAGGCACGGAGTAGAGGTCATCGTCGAAGCATGAATCCCTCTCTTTGATTCCAGCAAAGAAACTGTGGCTGCAGTGGAATCATTTGACCGTGGCTTGACGACCAAAGTTGTTAGTGCTCGCAACAACAGTGAACATGAGAGCAACGATGGAGCTTGGATTGCTACCGGAATAAGTTGTGATTGGGCTCCTCCAGCACAGATTGGGCTTCGAGGTAGCTGGATAGGCTCAATCACAAGAAAAACTTGATGATCAGTGGCAAGAGGGATAGAGATGCCTTCCCAGGCACTGCGAAAGTGCAACTCTCTACGAAATTTGTTGAAATAGGTAGGAAGCTTGGTTGAGAAGGCCTTTTTGATAGCAGCCTCAATGAGGGAAGGTAACGAGGCCATCGTAGCCTCCAAGGAAGCAACACGATCTTCTAGGGAAGAGAAATGAGGGGCAGCGGTTTGGCGGGTGTGCAAAGGAGGGAAACTAGGATTCGAGAAGGATGATACCATTGATAAGATCCAAATATCTCGGCCTTTAATCAACCTGCAAGTAACATAGAGGATAGAAAGGAAGAGGGAAGGAAGATGAAGAAGCAGAGCTCCAAATATTTTTGTATTTAATTTCTTTTGTGTAAATTCTCATCTCATTTGTTTTCTAGGAGCTGGGCTCCTTTTATACAGACTGCATCCCTTAAAATGCCAATTGGCATATTTAACAATCCTTAATACTAAAAACTAAAGCATAAAATCTCCCATTAACTCTCTAAATCATTGATTAAGACAATCACAATTGAGACCTATTATGGGTTCATAACACCAGAAGCTCCATCATCCGCCTTCAGGTATTCCAATCAATTAGGTTATAGACCATTGGCAGTACATTAGTGTTGAAGAATCGTACCTTAAATGTGCAGGGCAATAGGATCCACGGGTCCATGCATGTTCATTTTACCATTTCCTACCCATCATCGCAAACCTTTCTTGATTATCCTTCTCCCTTCCAATATTCCTTTCCACCCCTACGAGGTGACCATTTTTTGCCTCCAAGAAAGAGCTCCCTGGATAGTACTTCCTTATTAGGACCTTGGACAATAACATCTCTTAATTGTGAATAAGCTGCCAAATCAGCTTTGCCAACATCGCCAAGTTAAAAAATTGCAAGTCCCGGAACTCTAAACCACCAAACTGCTTAGTTTGAGTTATTTTGCCCCAAGAGACCCAATGCATTCCTCACTTGCGTCCTTGCCCTTGCCACTAATCTTTTGCAATTAATTGTCTCATCTCTTTGCACAAAGAGATAGGCAGTTTAAGGCAAGACATTTTATAGTTTGACATCGCCATTGCCACTACTTTGATCAACATTTCTTTCCTTGATGTTGATAGAAATTGTTCAGCCCAACCAGTTAGTTTTCCTTCATTATTCCTTCTCACCTCTTCGAACACTGCTTTTTTGGAGTGCCGAAAATCTAATTGAATCCCCAGATACTTCCCAAATGTCTCATGAATCTAAATATTCAAGCATTTAGTGACCTTATATTTATTTAGCAGCCTGCACCAAAGAAAATGGAGGTTTTTTTCCAGATTGACTAGCTGACCAGAAGTGCTAGAATAGCAATCTAGTACATTTAAGACTTATCAGTCTTCTCCTTCAGTAACACGGCAAAACAACATAGAATCATCCGCGAAGAATAAATGTGAAATCATAGGACCATCATTCGGGATTTTAAAACTGTGAAGAAGACCCAAGTCCTCACTTCTTTTTAACGAGGCTGAGAAACCTTCCACACAAATAAGAAAGAGGAAAGGCGATCGTCGATCACCTTGTCATAACCCTCTAGTCGGTTTGATGAATCCAGTATGATTCTCGTCAATTAGTATAATATAGGAGATGGATGAGATACATTCTTCAGTTCTAGCGGAAAACTCTCTTACGAAACCAATCTTCTCCATCATACTCGTTACAAATTTCCACTCCACCCTATCATACACATTTTCCATGTCAAGCTTGATGACCATGTCTTGGGTATTCTCATCACTTTGGCACTTCAAAGAATGTAGGATTTCAAAGACCACGAATATGTTGTCATGGATTTGTCTTCTAACAATAAAGGGGGACAGGTTTTGACTAATCACCTTTGGCATTAATCCTTTGAGACGGTTTGTGATGATCTTAGAAATAACCTTGTAAGACACTCTAGAACCTCCTAGACTCTGCATGATTGGGCAGAAGCATACAGAGCTCCAAAGTGTTGGACCACGTTTTGGCCGATCTTAACCTCCTCTTCTTGCCAATTTCCCTGGGTGTCTTCCAAGTCTCGGTTGCAGTTTATCCTTATAAGGTTCAAAGTTTGCAGTTTGCACATGAAAGAACTTAGTATTCTTATCGCCTTTTTATAGCCATTGTGCCCATAATTTTGACTAACAGTAAATCTCCTCCGCCTTAATAGCTTCCTTTAACTCTCTCTTTTTTCCTTAACCACTGCCAATCGGTCTTCTCTAATTGATATGCATTTCAAAGTTCTCCTTTCAAACCCACGATTTTCTTCTTTCTATTTTTCCCATTTTGTCTTCACCAGTTTGAGAAATCCCAGGGGACTTCCTTTAGTTTTTCACAAAAATTAAAAGCATACGATCCTTCAAAACTTTTCTTCCATGTGTCACCGACGATGCTCTTACCCTCCGAACTCTTCGTCCAATGTCCATAGTATAAGAACCTTCTTATTCCTTTTGGTAGCAGAAGTTCGATTTGCAGGATTAACATGGCATGACCCGAGCCTTCCAATACTTCATGTAGAATTTTTGCTTCTGGATATAATTAGATCCACTCCATCGTTGCTAGTCCACGATCAAGTGTTTGTTGGATGAATCTGTCATCTCTTTTATTTTTGCATGTAAACGGAAAGTCCTCATAGCCCAAATCAATTAGGCCGCTTTTTGTAGTATATTCCCAAAAATCCCACATACTAGCAGTTATTTTTTTACTCCCTCCATCTTTCGTTCTTCTAAAATATCATTGAAATCTCTAATGATAAGAC